GTCTGTCTGTCTGTCTGTCTGTCTGTCTGTCTGTCTGTCTGTCTGTCTGTCTGTCTGTCTGTCATTTCTTTATTTTTGGGTGAATTGGTGTTTTGTGGCTGGTCTGAAATTCCAAAAGCACCTGCCAGTCTGAAAAAGGCCACTTCTTCCTGATCTAATATTGAAGTAATGTTAATACATTAACTCTCAATGCAAGAGAAATCAATGCAAACCCTTTACATTTAAAGCATTCTTTCCTTAGCCTATTAACTGCTATTAGCATTTCACATTCCCCCGAAGTCAGGCTGTCACCCTCAACTGATCAATAGACAATAAAGTGTGATTTCACGCAGAAAGGTGGCAATTGCATAATGGGGGTTTTAATTTCTCACTTTCCCATGGTGACCTTTCCTTCTGAATGTGCTTCTCTGTTCCTATCATCTATAGCTATGTCAGTTCTTGGAGATGTTAAAAAAAAAAACCCCAAAAAACAGAAATCTGCAATCTGCAGTAGATTATAACACTTGCCACTGGCATCTTATAGAAACAACTCCTTTGCACAATTATGGGAAATTGTGGAACACTTCACCTTACTATATGGGGAGGTTAACTTAGCTCTAATATCTAAAAGACAGTTTACATATTCAGTTCTGCTTGCACCCAGGTTATATTTGATTGGCATCTTTCCATCTTGTGGCTCAGAGACATCTGTTTCAACCAGCCTGACATTGCTTGTTACCTGCTGCCTTTTTTAAATGTGGGGTTTTAGGGAGAAAAAACGGTTTGAATTGCTTCAAATTCCTGGTTTGTTCTTGACTGGCTTTTATAAAAGACGGTAGCTTAACAAACAGGGGAAAAAATATAATTTGACCCCCTGCCATGATCATCATCCTTCGGAAAGTGGCTTTTTCCTTCCGGAACCAAAAGAGGAGAAGTGGGAAGTGTGATAACACTCCACGTAAAACCATTTCCCCACTTCTGAAGAGCTAGCATGGCAAGGAGAAGATCTGGGCAGGACTATTCATGATGTTGGAGAACAGATGGATTAGCCTCTTCCTTGGTGTTCTGATATGGTGCACTATGAGAAGGTCTCAAAATGCAATTGGTTGTCAAGTCCACTTCTCCAACCATCCATCACACAGCTCAAAAGCCCCTCTTCACACTTCACATTTTCAGGGCTACACCTAATACTACTTTAAGCATGAAGCTCTTTGATCTTCACCTTTGCAGCTTTTGAGTGGAGCAACAGTGACATATAGTGGCCACCAGAGTAGCAAGTCCAAAGGGTTGCTGAATTCGGTCAGCGGTGCTGTGAAAAAAAATAGTTCCTGCAGACCGTCTTCTGCTAATCATTTGTTTGCCTGTAGGAAAAGCAGAAGCCGTGGTGTGTGATAGGCAATGTGATGCCCCCTCCCTTGGCATGATTTGTTTTGAATTATTTGCTTTAATTAAATTAAGGTAATTGACCTGACACAAGGTGAAAGGACAGCATTGCTTCTTTCTCTAAGAACATCCAGTCAAGAGACAACAGAAGAAACACTGCGGGCTGGTGCTTTGCTTCCAAATGAGCAAAGAGACAACCCTGGGATGGGTGGCAGGAAGGCTCCCAGGGACCTGAAAAAATTCCCCAACTTCCCCATGTTCCCTTCTGGCATACAGGGAATGCTTTGTGAAAGTCTCTCAAAACTCCAAATAAGTAAAACT